GAAATAATCCAATTCAAGTCAAAACCCCTTTCTTACACAATTGGACAATTAAAATTTCCAGTTTAACAAAAGGTTCAAGCATTCTAAAGTAATGTGTTTATTTCACCTCTAGATTCTCCTCCTCCACTTCCTGATCCTCCCCTGCTTCTGGTGGATCCTCATCCTCCTGTAGTTCCACATCCTCGGATTTTGCAGTCACCTTTTTAAAATTTCATCCACTTTATCAACTTCTTATGTTCATATATATATATATATTAGTGCATTGGTAGGAAATAAAATTAGGAAAAAAGAATTGCTCTTTTTGATTCTTTCCACTAATCAATACAAACCATGGGTGCCTGCTTTTCTTCAGATGATTCCTTCTTTCGCCTAAAGCTGGGAATTTCGTCAAACTTGATAACCTTGGGATTGAAGATGGAGTAGGGAATGTCTGGGAGATTGTAGATCATGTCCTCGATGTGCCTTTTGATGGCCTCTTTGTGAACAGAGGGCACCTGTTTGGGCCTCCTGTCCTTGACCTCCTCTGACCTTGGCGGAGTTTCCTCCTGTCGTTCGTACAACATCAGGTCCTGTTCACTCTCCTCGAGGTCCTCAGTAATCCCAGCCTCATCTATTTTTGGAATTTTGGGTTTTTGTTTCTTCTTTGGTTTGACAACTCCTCCAACTGAGGCTAGCCGAAAGAACTAACAGAAAGACAGCAATGTTAATCTGATAGCCAAATCAATATGCTTTATTACCTCATGCACTCCCTCCCTCTTTTGATAAGGGGTGGTACCTTTTATGAACAAAAGCCAGACCACAATTCTTACATGAGTCATAGGCTATGTTGTTCTTCAAAAAGTTGTTAAAAGATGAGATTTTTTTCTTGAGTAACAGTGCTGTGTGTCTCATTTAATATATATACTAACCTGCAACCTTCTGTCATTCTTCGAGTTTAGGTAGTCCTTGGGCAGTTTTCCCTCTGCATTATATACGGAGGCATTCACTTTTCTGTCACATAATAATTCTGTAGCTTTCTGTGTGGTTGCATTGTACTTAGCTTTGGCTACCAGATGAAATAGCCCATCTCCCTCTGAGTTTGTCTGGGAGGGGTCTAACATTGGGTACTTCTCTGGATCCTTCTCATACATATCAAAGAACAAGTTCAGGATGGAAAAATTTCCTATAAAGAACAAATAAATTAATGACAATTTTCAGATAAGACTAAAGCTCTTCTTGTTTGTACTCATGACTTTGAAAAAAATTCCTATATTTAGGGACCATGCTAGCATTAAACATTAATTCAGAAAATTTTACAAAGGTTTGTACCTTTATGTAAAAGATTACCAATTTCAAATCCAAATTTAGGATAAGTATCATTTCAAAGAAATTGACAAAATCGAAAAATTATGAACCATGATGTAGTATAATAGTAAAACCTTTGTCTCTCTCCAATGCGATGGACAGAGCAGCATGGATTGGTGTATCTCCCTGGTTAATAGTTAGATGAACAGGGCTGGCATCCCATTTAAACAACACTTCTAATACTTTAAATTGGCATTCTTGTACTGCAGCAAGGATGGCCATTTTCCCATCTGTAATTTAAAATTTGTTTAATAATTTATTTCTTTAATAAAAACTAAAGCAAGAACATGTCTATAGGCCTGCTATTTTTCCAAATGCATCCTTCTCTAAACTGTATTAATTTCAAATGATTTCTTCTGCAAAAATCTCGGATATATGAGAAAACATGAATTTTCATCTAATTAAGTTCAAGCTTGTTATTCTAGATCAAAGAAGTTTTTTGACTATTTTACTTTTCCCATGAATGTTATCATTGTTCAATGTATATTTGTTTTAATATTCATATTATCTAGATACATTAACAGCAATACTTGTAAAATGACACACATTAAATTCAATGATTTCTTACGTTTTAAAACCCATAAAACCTTCAAATAATTACACCCACTTCAATATCAAATTTTAATTTATTTCTGAAACTAGCATATAAAACAAAGATAAACCATGCCTTTCTCTAATACAGCTCCACCATTTAACATGTAGTCCACAATATCCACTAACAACTGTTCTGCTCCCTGAAATGAGGAGTGTCGAATGACTTTTGCCACAGACATCGACTTGGCAAAATTAGGCATAGCCAGATCTCCATAATGTAATCTGTATTCTTTGACTGCTATGTACACTTGTCTCCACTTTTCAATATCAGCTAGTCCCTGGATAATTTTCTCGTACAGTTTATTTGGGATTTTAGCGAGTTTTTCAGGTATTTCTGCAAGAAAAGAAAGCAATAAGCAATATTTGAAGAAACAATCATCCTTTTTTACATGTTAAAAATTTAAACTCTTGTCTTTATGAAGCTACTTTCCTGTCTTTGAGATGCATCTCATTTGAAAATATTTCTTGGCTTACACTTCCTAAGTTTACTGGTTCTCTTTTTTTTTTTTTTTTTTTTTTTGCATTACCTGGGTTGAGGGACTTTCCAAGAGACTTGATCACTATGTCTAAGGCCATTTTTTCCATCTTTTTGTGTTTATCAGATCTGTGGTCCTTTCTCAGCACCTCTGCCAGAAACTGATAACCATGTCTCATATTATTTTCCTTTAGTTTCTCCTTTGCCTCCTCAATACGTTGCTCACAGTAATTAGTACAAGCAGAATCAGCTGTTGTATTTTTCACCATTTCTTTTTCTTTTTTCCTGCAAAAAAAGTACATCTGAATCAGATGAAAGCATCCAAAGAAAGCCCAAATATGTGCCTTTTTGCAAGTCTGGACAACATAAAGCTAATAGGCCTAGTTGCCAAAGAATGGACTTGCCAAAAACTTAAACCTCCTCACTCATCCAGAGGAAAGCCTGGTAGATCTGGTGAGCATCTATAGATAGTTTGGTCACAATGGGGCTTATAGTTACTTTGTAATAGATTTGTCCCTAAAACCTTTAATTAAAATGCAGACTTTTATATGGGAGGTTAAACATAAGCTCAACATTGCTTTAAGAAGATAGTAAAAAAAAAAGAACAATCAATTTTATTATGAGTGATGCTTCTTGTGAAATTTCGAAACAGTAAATTCCTCATATACTCAAGTGTACACTCTGAAACTGTCATAAGTAATTTCTAAAGCAAGCTTTCTATAAAATGTAAAAGTTCTGGTCCCAGTTCAGCAGAGTTACAGTCTCCTACCTGACACTTCCTTCTGCTTTTTTCTGATTTTGAAGCTGTCGTTTCCTCTCGGCCTCCTCTCGTTTTTCTTGTTTCTCTCGCTGATGTAGTTCTTGCTGTCTCAGTCTCTCTTGCCTCTCACGTTCTTGGTCTTGTCTAGCTTTCTCCTTCTTCAGTATATTCTCCATTTCTAAGAGCCAAAAAAAAATCTGAATTTTGTGACCTATTCTTTTTGACTTTATATATACAAAGTTTAGCTACTCCTTAAGACACAAATTTCTGCTATGCCAAAAATAACCTTTACTAAATAAATTTCACTTAATAGCTACTTTCATGAATTTCTTTTTTGTTCCAATCATCTCAACTAAAATGCAAGAAAAGCTGACTTGATCATACCTTGTTGCTGTGCCATCCTTTGATGAAGCAATGTAACGGCCTGACTCTCCCTGCCTGGTAGGTACTGTACAGCGTATTTCCCTGATTTATTTTTCTTCAGTACGTTGATGTCCATCTCCAACAAAAGATAAATGATCTGCAGGCGAACGTGTTGTTTGGCATTTTCTTCCTTTGTGGCCACATGGAGAACTGTATTTCCTTGTTTGTCTTGTATATTTAGGTCATTGTTCTCCTTAACTTTGTCCAAAATGAAGGCAAAGAGGTCAAGGGCACCTAAAAGTTTTAGAGAAAAATATGATTACACTAACAGGATTTCAATGAATTTATGTCAACAGTAAACTGGTTTTCATTCCTAAGCTTTCATAGACTCTTGAAACCGTTCTTACTATTTCATTGATTGTGTTGACAAACAACAGTTAGCTAGGGGTCATCTAAGTGACCCTTGTGGCCTAAAAATGACATAATTACCGGTCACCAGGGACATTCTGACAACAGCATGAAAGTAAGTGTCCGAGTTCTCCACTGACAATGTATGGTAGTCACTTCCTGTCTGTATAAGGTAGAGTATCAGATCCAGCACCCAAGGCTCTGAAGCCACCTTGTCAAGGTCACACAGAGGCTGCAGACTGACCTTGACCTCATGGTATAAATCCATGCTGATTAACTTCTGGCGGTGCTGTAGATAAGCAAACCTGGCAGGTATCAAAAGTCCACTACAAATTAAGTCGTACGAAGTCAGGGCCCAGACCTGTTTCCCACAACCTTTCAAGTCCAGCAGTGGAATCTGTCCCGCTAAATACATGGTAAATATCACAATTAGTTACTATCAATATGAATCGACATACATGTTTAATTTAACGACATCTTAATCTGAAGGATTAAATGAAACAAGTGAATTTAAAGAAAGTACTCCGCATGGACTCAATATAAAATTATTATGAATTCTGATGGTCTTGGGCTGAATTGAAAAGGCCTCAAGATGGCTCGAGCCTTAAAAATTTAAAAATATTGTTTCCTTTTATCCATAGATGCTACATACAGTATCAAAACTTATTAAATCAAGTTCTGACAAACATTTTAGAAAAGACGCTGAAATGTTCCAGAGGCTTGGAACAACTTGCCATGCTCTCTAATGAACAAATATTCCAGGACATCCTTAAAAATTGTTTGTTTGGAATTGCCACCTGAAGGGTTTCAGACACAGGAGGGAGGGAGGGAAATATTTTTTTGTTTTTAACTTGAAGAAATTTTTTTTAATTTTTGATAAAAATCTCAGTAAACAGTAAATACATTTTCAAACTTAAAAAAAGTATCTATCATCTACAAAAAAACCTAATTTTACTTAGATCTGACACTATATTTTAGTGTTATGTATGGTACATGTGATACATGTAATGGGCAAAAAAAAAAATGATTAAATAAAAAAAAAAAATCGTCCTACTTTGGTCAATAAAATTTTTTCAGGAGGGGGCATTTCAATGAGGCGGGAGGCAATTCCAAACAAACTATAATTTTATTTTGGCCCCAGTGATACCTTTAGGAGCAACTTTTGCCACTTCTCCCAGAATCTCCCTTCGAACGCCTAGGTTTGCTGGTGTTTCCTCTAACTCATTACAGGCATTACCAAAAGCCTGAATGGCTACACTGGACTCCCCTAGTGCTGCTTTGGCTTTGCCAATCCTCAGGTGTGACTGTCATCATTAACAAAGTTTGAAGAAATAATTATTAGTGAAGATTTTCTTAATGAGGAAGAAACATTTCCCCCTGGAAAAATTCAACAAGCTAAAATGAATATCTCTTCAAAATGCAGTTTAAAAATTGTACTTTTGCAAAATCTCAAGAGTGACACAAAAGTAAAATAAATTTAAACAATAATATTGCAACAAGAGGCCCCTGGGCCTTATAGGTCACCTGAGCATTATTCAACAACTTTCCAGTGACTCAATTTGATCCATGTTTTAAGCCAGATGCTATAGCATTTACAATCTGGTCATCATAACTATACACTTAGCAGTTCCTTAGTTTGGTTACTTTATACCCATAGGCAGGGTAGGGGAACAAAAAATGCATTTCAACTAAACAGTAATATTCAGCAATAATCAGTAGTGCCGCTACCACACATGAACCCTTGACTCTTAGGCCTAGATCCACACATTGCACTATTTTTGGAAAGGCATACTTGCTTTTCAAAAATATTTGATTAATACCAAGGAGCACATTTCAAACAATTCATTCATTTTCAGTACATAAGTACACCCCCCCCCCCCCCCACTATGGTACAACTGACCCTGGGGCCTTGAAATTTACAATTCTTGAAGATTAGGGATTGCTCATAACTATATAGGTAATTCATCTGCTTAAAACCTAGGAGCAAAGATGAAAATATTCAAAGATTTAATGTTTTTTCACTATTGTATAATCAATACAGCCCCGCCCTAACACCAGAACCCCTGACCCTGGGGCCATAAAATTCACAATTTTGGCAGAGGCACTCTTGTTCATCATAACTATGTACTTAGTTAGTTTATTTAATACAGGAGTAAAGAAGAAGATTTTCAAAGAATTCATGTAAGTGACACCAGAACCCCTGACCCTGGGGCCATAAAATTCACAATTTTGGTAGTGGCACTCTTGCTCATCATAACTATGTACTTAGTTAGTTTATATAAAACCTAGGAGCAGAGAAGAAGATTTTCAAAGAATTCATGTATTTTCACTATATAATCAATAGAGCCCCGCCCTAAAACCAGAACCCCTGACCCTGGGGCCATAAAATTCACAATTTTGGTAGTGGCACTCTTGCTCATCATAACTATGTACTTAGTTAAATTATATAAAATCTAGGAGCAGAGAAGAAGATTTTCAAAGAATTCATGTATTTTCACTACATAATCAATAGAGCCCCGCCCTAACACCAGAACCCCTGACCCTGGGGCCATGAATTTCACAATTTTGGTAGAGGCACTCTTGCTCATCATAACTATATACTTAGTTAGTTTATTTAATACCCAGGAGTAAAAAAGAAGATTTTCAAAGAATTCATGTATTTCCTCTATATAATCAATAGAGCTCCGCCCTAACACAGGAACCTCTGACCCTGGGGCCATAAAATTCAAAATTTTGGTAGAGGCACTCTTGCTCATCATAACTATGTACTTAGTTAGTTTATTTAATACCCAGGAGCAGAGAAGAAGATTTTCAAAGAAATAATGCATTTTCACTATATACTTATTTAGCCCCGCCCTAGTACAAGAACCCCTGACCCCAGAGCCATGAATTTCACGTATGACGACGGACAAAAACAGATAGCAATAGGTCACCTGAGTGACTCAGGTGACCTAATAAATTGGACAGAAAACACTAAATACATATTGTTTACTGCAAGTAAAACATCAGACTGACCACAGACAAAGAACAATGTTGAGTAAAAAGATATCAAACATTACTTTTTTCCCCTCATTATTACCTTAAACCAGTGTCCATCATACCCCACACTTTCCATTGCAGCCTCTAACGCTTCTTCAAACTGACCCATCTTTAACAAACACTCGGCTTTGTTGCCATATAGCACAGCTTTCTCGTGGTTTTCAACCTCTTCTTTGCATTCTTCTGAGATATAATCCAACAAATCACAATACATTTCGAATGCCTCCTCAATACAGCCTTGATTGTACAGTTCATTAGCCTCAGATTTTAGATCTTTCACCACTTGATTAGTTTCGCTTGTTGCTGAACTTTGCGGCACCTTCAGTTCACTTTTAGGGGGTTTAGGAGGTTTAGCTTTTTCTGTTGGTTTCTGATGGATTTCTGGTGGCTTCTTTGGTTTGACATTTTCTGTAGCTATAAATGTTTATTATTCAAATCTTAAGTGAATATATAAAATATTATTATTCAACAGCAACAAGAAATAAAAATTATTGTGAATACAAGTGTATTCTCAGTTTCAAGTTCTGCAGTAAAAGCAAAAGCTGGCTGTGTCGCTGTTCTCATTATCAAAACACATGCAGTCTCATATTCTAGGCTAGCATGACTGACTAGCCTGTCAATCAATTTGAAAAATACCATTTCTAATCTGACTGAAAAGTGATATGGTGCCATAGCAGATACATTTCCTGGCTGGTAACAAAGTTTGTTAAGGTTTTGATAAGGTTAAATCCTGAAGAAAAACCAAATCTTGCAGATTTTAACCTAATCCTTACAAGTCAAATATGAAATAAGAATGTGACTTACGCTTGGCGTATTTGAGCAGTATGTCGTACACCCCTTTGTTCTTGCTAGGATCCACATAATCAATAGGCAGGAGCTGGTCTCTATCTCGCTCCAGGGGGGACACTCCCTTCTGTAACAGCAGCTTGACCAGGGTGGTCAGGAGCTTTCCCTGGGGGGCAGGAGACATCTTCAGGAGGGTGTGGAATGGGGAATCCCCCTTACCATTCACAACCGTTATCATCTGAGGATTGTCTGGCATGCTCTTAAGTATTACTGTGTCTCCTAGGAAAGAAGGATATTTTAATATCTAGTATTCACAATTTTTGAAAAACATCCTGAGCCTAGTATCATAAATTGCTGGTGTGCAGTTTTATTGTGAAAATGCACTTTAATATCATACTCAGACATTTGTTCAATTTTCATTGAAAATCTCTTTTTTATTTTGCAATTTTTTTTTGCTTAATCTCTACTACAATTTAACAAATCTACAGACCTGCCTACCCTTTTCATTGCAAGGGTGTAATTTCAGTACATTTTTGGTGGAATTTCAGATGTTTAAGCATAATCAATCATGTTTTCCTATTTTTTTTTTTTTTACTATAATACTTTATTTTTTTTTTGGAACAACTGAAATTGTACATACTATTTACTAAACAAAGCTGGTATAAACCTTTCTTAATTTTTCAAATCATCTATAGGCAAAAAAGTGTTCTAAAATTCCAGTATCCTATATCAAACTCTATTCAACTGTACACCCTTAATGAAGCATTTGATCAATTTGTATCAAATAACTTAATCGAAGGCTTGCGTTTGAATGTTAAACAAGAAGGATATGAAGATAACGAACATATTCAATCTCAAAGTCCATAAAACAATACAAAAGAAGAGCAGAGCAAACACGGACCTCCGAAACATCAGAGGCGGAATCAATTGCCATGGAGGAGTAAAAATCCCCTGCTGAACGATCACACTCGCCGTGTGCTCCTTGTCGTGATCAGGAAATAACGAAAAAAATCCGTCGTCAATTCAGTGTATAAATAATGGACTAACAATTAGTATGAAAAACGTCAGTCAGCATTTGACTCAATGATAAATTGTATTTGCTGACAAGGTCATTGTATCGACCATAGAACTTAGGAAATGATGACTTTAAACAAGACGGCTGATATTCTTGTGTCATCAACTTGCTTGTCAATAATTTACCTCGTTTTAGAAATTGTGCATACACACAGCAAGCTCTTGCTCTAAATCGTACATTATAACGTAGCATTTTATCTTTTTAACACTCACATTTCTCATCTTGTTCTAAGCAATGTTAAAATAAACTTAATCGAGCATAGAAATGGCTGTACGTTTTGCAATATCATTTCATAGTTAACGTAAGTAGTGCCTCCTCGTCTTCTTCCGAATCTTTGCCATACCAGCTTACATGTAACTAGTGGGTATATTACGTACATTATCGAACTGGTCCTCTTTGAATTACTTTTCATTTCGTTTCAGCATTTCATATCAAAAGTGTAAAATTAATGTAAGTGGCATAATAGCATAATTTTGAGGAAAAGAGCGGAAGAATTACGCCAAAAGCGGAAGGGTAGGCAGGACAAGGTAGCTGTCCACATATCAACGTCTATTTTATTATCAAAAGCAAATATTTTATCATCATAAAACAAGAGGCCCATGGGCCACATCGCTCACCTGAGAAGCTTTGACCATTCTGTTCTTTACCAGATTTCACCCTTGTTATACATAATGCATCCCCACCCTACCCCACTGATCATAATTTAGACATTTTGAAATCTACACTACCACATGATCCTTCCATGGGCACATATGTTTCAGCTTTATGGCCCAGTGGTTCCCGAGAAGAAGGTTTTCAAAGATTTTTCCTATATATTTCTATGTAAACCTTTGATTCCCTATAATGGCCCCGCCCTTCCCCCGGGGGTCATGATTCCTACAATTTAGAATTTACACTACCCCAGAATGCTTCCACCTAAGCTTCACATTATCTGGCCCAGTGGTTCTTGAGAAGAAGATTTTAAAAGATTTTTCCTACATATTTCTATGCATAAAACTTTGATTACCCATTGTGGCCCCACCCATCCCCCGGGGGTCATTATTTGAACAATTTAGAATCTACATTATACTAGTATGCTTACATAAGTTTCAGCTTTTCTGGCCCAGTGGTTCTTGAGAAGAAGATTTTCAAAGATTTTTCATATATATTTATATGTAAAAATTTGATTAATAATTGTGGCCCCTCCCTTCTCCCGGGTGTAATGATGTGAACAATTTAGAATCTACACTATACCAGGATGCTTCCACATAAGTTTCAGCTTTTCGGCCCAGTGGTTCTTGAGAAGAAGATTTTCAAAGATTTTTCTAATATATTTCTTTATAAAACTTTGATTCCCTATTGTGGCCCCACCCATCCCCCGGGGGTCATTATTTGAACAATTTAGAATCTACATTATACCAGGATGCTTCCACATAAGTTTCAGCTTTTCTGGCCCAGTGGTTCTTGAGAAGAAGATTTTCAAAGATTTTTCCTATATATTTCTATGTAAAACTTTGATTCCCCATTGTGGCCCCCCCCTTCCCCCGGGGGTCATTATTTGAACAATTTAGAATCTACACTATACCAGGATGCTTCCACATAAGTTTAGCTTTTCTGGCCCAGTGGTTCTTGAGAAGAAGATTTTCAAAGATTTTTCCTATATATTTCTAAGTAAAACTTTGATTCCTCATTGTGGCCCCGCCCTTCCCCCGGGGGTCATGATTTGAACAATTTAAGAATCTACACTATACCAGGATGCTTCCACATAAGTTTCAGCTTTTCTGGCCCAGTGGTTCTTGAGAAGAAGATTTTCAAAGATTTTTCCTATATATTTCTATGTAAAACTTTGATTCCCCATTGTGGCCCCGCCCTTCCCCCGGGGGTCATGATTTGAACAATTTTGAATCTACACTACCCCAGGATGCTTCCACATAAGTTTCAGCTTTTCTGGCCCAGTGGTTCTTGAGAAGAAGATTTTTTAATGACCCCACCCTATTTTTGGTCTTTTCTTGATTATCTCCCCTTGCGAGGGGATATGTCCCTTCATTTTAACAATTTAAATTCCCCTTTACCCAAGGATGCTTTGTACCAAGTTTTGTCAAAATTGGCCCAGTGGTTCTTGAGAAGAAGTCGAAAATGTGAAAAGTTTACAGACGGACAGACGGACGGACGACGGACAAAATGTGATCAGAAAAGCTCACTTGAGCCTTCGGCTCAGGTGAGCTAAAAAGAGATACCACAGAACTGTAAATTACGAGAAATATTTGGTATTTCAGTTAATATACAAATTAAGTCTTCATAATTGAAATAAGAAAATAAATTCTGAAGCAAAATCTTACTTGTGAGGACACAGAACCTGGTGGCGGCATGTAGGGGCGTGTCCTCTTCTGACTCTCTGAACCTCAGTAAACTGTTGAGGTCTCCTCTATGTGTGATGAGGAAGAGAACAAGAGGGGTTATCCAGAAACCCACAGAGGCCGGGTCATCCTGGCTCTCAATGAAGGTAAAGAGAGTTTTATAGGTGATCCCCTGCATATCAGCATCTCTAGCATAACCCATGGCAACTACTTGTCCTGAAAGTAATAAATCATTTTAGAGCAAGGCAAATTTTCAATTCTTCATGTGAATTTGTGGACAGCTACTTTGTCTGGTTCTAAACATAGGAAATGGTGACCTTTAAATAAATATACAGATAAATAAACAAATGTAAAGATTTGCAAATACTTCAGCTTTGAAGTTTGCGATTCTGAAGATGGATTACAGATGGATGGACAGATGACAGACAACGGGTGATCCGAAAAGCTCACTTGAGCTTTTAAGCTCAGGTGACCTAAAAAGGTTTTTGTACAACTTTAGAGACTGAGCATTCAACACATTTGTCTTGAAAGTAAGTTCATTAATACCAAGTCATCCTGATGGAATGCACCTACCACCACCAAACATGAAGTTGATCCCCAGAACCAGAAACCTGATGGCCTCCCACTCTCCTCGCGCGCTGAGTCTGGTCAGAACATCTGACCACACGTCATTGGTCACCTTACTCAGGCCCTTGTAACTGGTCTCCAGATCCTGCTGCCCTGAAATCATTTACATTTCCATGATGAAAGTAAACGAGGCTCATGGGGACAATGCTCAACATAATCACATTTTTCTTCAGAATCTTTTCCCACCACATATTCTCAACTTATTTCTTCCACATTGATTGAGGCCTCATCCTAGCCCAAAAGGAGTGTAACATAAACAAACTTGAAGCCATACATATGGTGATGCTCAAGTATGATGACTAATATGGCCTTGCAAATTTGTTGGGATACCAAATGTTTAGATTTAGAATCTGACTGTTGGAAATTTGAAAATGTTCATTATGATTTCTGTAACACTGCTACTCCTGAAAGTATTTATTTGACATTGAACTAATTTCAGGGAAAAAAGGCTCCTTTGAACCTTAAAGAGAGAGTGACCTTATATCCCATTTTTGAAACATACAATATCATCTTGTGAGAATTTAAATCCTCTTTAATACTGTCTACTGATAGACAACAGAATACCTTTGATGTGTTGGAATGCTGTGACGGCCTCTACCAGAATGTTGCGTTTTTCTGAGGCAGTGCCCTCTCCCTTGCGATAGCCCTCCAGGAAGGCACTATACGCCTCCCTGTGTTTGTGTAGTGTACTCAAAATCTGACCTCGCCTCCAGTGTCCCTGTGGAAACAAATACATGACAGTGTACTCCTTAATGCCAACTAAAACATACATGTATCAAGTACATGTATATGCATCTAAAACTAAATATCTAAACACACTTTGATTTCTCTAAATGCAAAAATAGGAAAATTTATTTATTATTCAATAGTAACAAACAGTTTGATATCTGAGCAATGAATTGGTTATTAATCTTTTAATTAAAGGTTGTGATTCAAATCAAAAGTATGCAAGCCTCAATACTGTTCGGCAGTCCCCATCATCTGGCACATGCAAGTAAAAAGTGTATTCAGTTTTGAAAGTTTAAAATACTAATTCTGTCATAATATTTGACAGATACTAATTCCAATTTCTTCAAAATGATATTTCAAAATCTGTTATCTGAAATTTAGAACTCACATAAATTTGTAGATGCCATAATACAGTGAAAACTGTCTAATCCAACACCTGAATAGTCTGACACACTGTGAATTCCGACATTAAATGCCTTTCCAATTTAACTATTTTCCATGTTTTTAACACTGTGCAACCAAGCAATCTGACACAGTGTGCCTGAACCACAATTCATGAAAATTTTGTCTCGCTAATCAAGAGTCAATGACTATCTCGCGAAAATAAGGTGTCGCGAAAATTTAGTGATCTACAGTATTCCAACACAAAATTTGACTCCCAGTGCATGTCGGATTAGACAGGTTTCACTGTACCTGATAACATGCATGTACCAGTTTATACATGAACTACAAGAACATACTATCAATTATAAGCAACATAAAAACCTTCAGCCATGTGGGGTCACACTTTACAGCCTCCTCAGCATCCTCTAACGCCTCAAATACACTGTGTAGGGCCAGATGAACAGCTGCCCGGTTTGTCAGTAAGGTCACCGTCTCACGGGTCAAGTTCTCGTAACCTTTGGCCATACTTATTGCTCGGCTGTAGAAAAAAATGGCTTCCTCTAATTCTCTGTTCTTGTACGCTGCATTTCCTTGCTCTTTCAAATGCAGAATTTTGACTTTCACATGGTTTCCTTCAATAGAAATTTATAGTCTTGTATAAGTACCTCCTATCAATGGAAATATTGTTTTGGCAAATTAAGATATGTTGTCATACTACAACATTCTCTTTGCTATATCTTATTTTTAATTTAATAATTTTTTGGTAATAAATGGAACCTTAAGCTTACCGATAACTTTCTGTCAAAGATTACAGAAACTATACATGTAGGTACATTTTGCTCAGTTTATCAAAGATCACTTAGAATATAAAACAATTCTAATGTAAAGATCTAGTAATGAGAGGTTTCTAGAGATTTCTCACGTCTGTAAATTGAACTTCTTTAATGATGATTTATATCAACGACTTGGTAAGATAAGATACATTGGGATATAATGTTTGGGTCGATACAATGAAAAAAAAAATTTTGTTCCAACGATTCTTATAACAAAAGAAGAAACCAGATGAGAAAACATGGGAGTTGCATCTAGACCACGTCTCTTAGGAAACAGTAAAGGAAAATGGTTCTGTTCTTGATTTCTTCTTTAGTATAAAAAACAGTTATCAGAATTACTATTAACATCATTTCAAAAGCAATTTGAATCCATGAACATGCTTCATTTTGTATCTTTCTCAATTAAAGCCATGAAGTACAGGAAAAATTAAGTTCAAATTACTATGACATCATAATGGATATAACATTTAAAAAGACATTCAAAACTCACTTAAAATATATAGATCTTCACCGTTAATTCTTATTTCAAAACCTGAAACAGAACTAATTCCATATAAATTACCTGCTACATTTGTGAGTTTGGAGAGGAGACTATACCCCATGTCTGTGGGTGTGAGGTAGTCTATGGGTAGTTTGCCTTCTGCGTCAGGAATGGAAGGACGACAGCCATTGTTCACGAGAAGTCGAAGCAGGGTCTCTCCCAGCGAGCCATTGATTTTCCCAGAATGCACTAGTACATGGAAAGCCGTTCTCTTTTTATCATCCACAGCATCTTTTTCTTCTGGTGTTGTCAGATACTGGCTGAACATCAGTTTTATCAAGTCAATATTGCCTGGATGGATAATATTTATTATTATACGAAAGATAAAGTATGAAATTCAAGCATAACAAAGATTCTTTGTAAGATAAGCAGAAAAATGTGTGATAGACATTAACAAGTACACAGAAAAAAATATCCCTATTAACCTGTATCTAATGCCACTGTAAGACCAACATGAATGACTGGTTTTCCCATTTTCTGTTCTATATCCTCATACGATGCACCACTCTTCAGAAGACAGATCGCTAGCTCTACACCGAATCTTTTGAGGTCAGGAGTGGGCGTGGTCTTCAGCAGGGTCCCCACCGAAAGGTTATCCACTGGACAACTGGCGGCCGCTGAATCCAGGGAACTGGGGGGCCCCGCATGGACCCCCAGCACTAACAGACTGACCCCCTCCCAGCAATTATTACTGGCTAAGCGCTGAAGGAGCTTCCTTTGGTTTTGAATGGATCCTGCATGAATCTCAGTCGTTTCCAATACACGGTTTGGGTCATCTAAATTTATGTACTTATTATATTGTTGTTTTTTTTCATATCAAATTTAAACAGCTGGTGCAAATTATTAACATCATTCTACTTTATGTTACTACTTTAAAGACTGACAATATACATGTATTATTGAAACCAATTCTTACACCCAAAATCATGTACACGTATATTTAAAACATCTATTTAGACTTTAATCTTATGTAAACTTTGCCTCTGAACAACTTACTTCTGAGGGACACTATAATGGTGACAATTTCTGCCAGGAAACTGACCACTTCCTCCTCCTGCCCCTGGGAGAGAGCCACATTATACCCCCCTAGAATCGCGTCCAGAGCCGACCCCAGCTGCTTCAGTTCTTTGTTGGCCTGAGCTGCACGCCAGTATCCCTTGATGAATATTCATAAGTATAAAGTAAAACCTTCACAAGATAATCCCTTAGGAATATTCCCAAGTACAGAGTATGGAGTAGCTATTTAATTTTCTGCACCCGTTTTTAAGGAATAAAAGAAATGCTTTAAATATCTACAAAATACGTTTTATGTTCTTTGTGAATAAGAACAGGTGAGATGAGATGAAGATGATGTCAATGTAATACTGTAAATAATACAGGTAGACAGTTTACAAAAGTTTTACCTTTATCCACAGAGGGTCTATTTGAATGCTGGCATTGGCATCGTCTACCGCTCTTCTCCAATCCCTCTGTCTGTAGAAAACCAAGGACCTGTTGCTGAGAAGTTTTGGGATCTCATGCATGAGATGTGGGAATGCCTGTGCCATATGCAGGGCCTCCGTGTACAGTCCTGCTGCCTGACGTAACCTGTTCTTGTTCAGGGCCTGCTGAGCTTCCTGTTTCATCTGGTAAAACCTCTGAGTCTCACGGTGCAGGAACATGGCTGCCAAAAAAATTATTTTCAATTTCAAGTAAATTCAGAGCAAACAACTTTTATCATCAAAATACAATAAATCAATAATAGCGAAACATTACTGTAGAAAATTTGTGAATATCTGCTTTAAATTGCAAACTTGTAGAAATACAACCCCCATACAAGATCTGAGGACAAAACATCAATAAAGTTGAAGGTCTCTTACACCATTTCTAGTACTGA